TATTGGATGCCCTGTCACATCACATTGAAATCATATTTTAAAGTCCCTACATCCAGGCTGGCGTACTAGCCTACTGGCTAAAGTTCTCACTTTGCCTGTGCCACCAGGATCCCATATGGGTGCCAGTTCTAATCCAGGCTGCTCCACTTCTCATCCAGCTCCCTGCTTGTGGCCTGGGAAAGCAGTTGAGGACGGCCTAAAGCCTTGGGACCCTGCACCAGTATGGGAGACCCAGAAGAAGCTCCTGGCTCAGCTCTGGCCATTGGGGTTGCTGTGGGGAGTGAACTAGAGGATGGGAGATCTTTATCTCTGTATCTCCTCTCTGTATATCTGCCTTTCCAATAAAAAAAACTTAAATCTTTAAAAAAAATTAAAGTCCGCACATCCCACATCATCCCAACAGCCATCAACTGTCAAGATTTTTGGTTGAGGCCATTTGGGTATGAGCTAACATATGGAAAATCTCTATCCACGTCAACTCTTTCAAACAGATAATTTTTTTAAAAAGGCAATAACAGTGTCATCAAAAAGTCAATACAGCTATATGGGATACAGAACATTTAGAGAATATATGTTTAATTTAAACTGCTTAGAGGCAGAGAGACAGACATTCTGACTGAGCTTCCATCTGCTGGTCTGGGAACATTGAGCTGGGCCTGGCATTCTGTGCAGGTCTCCTACACGGCAGCAGGAACCCAATCACTTGTGTCATTAGTGCTGCTGCCTGCATTAGCAGCAAGCTGGAGCCTAGTGTCAGGCTCAGGCACTCTTGATAGTTCAGATGTACCCTTAGAGAATACTGCTGACCAAAAAAAGTTATTTGGAGGTGGGTATTTGCTGGTTGGGAAGTTTGCATCTCCCCATCAGGGTATCTAGAGTCCCGGTTCTACTCCTGATTTTCGCTTTCTGCTAATATGATCCTGGCAGGAAGCAGCTGATGGCTTAGGCACCTGGGTCTCTGTCACGCATATGAGAGATCTGGATTAGGTTCCTACTTCAAACGATAGCCTGGCCTGGCCCTACTTGTTTTTTTTTTTTTTTTTTTAATCCTAGTTCTTGTAAACATCAGGGCAGTACAACCATGGAAGGGAACACTTTCTCAAGTAAATAATTAAAATTTCTTGGAAAAGCTATTAGGCAAAGTCACATTTCAGTTGAGTCTTTTTTAAGGTGGGGAAATTGATAGAGCAGAAGTGAGGGTTAAGACTTTTTACTTGCAGTAAACATATGAAGGCCTGAGGCAGCAAACTGCAAAACATGCTTAGATTTCAGTGCAGGTTTAGCTGAGGCTAGGACATGACTGAGGAACAAGGTCTCTGGTCACAAGGCCCTGGATACCACACCACAAAGTTCAGACATTATTCTAAAACTTTGGTGTGCATGATTGAAATTTCCAGATTAAATGTTAGGTTTGAAGTTTAGTTCTAGGACAACATATGGATCCACTAAAAAAGAGATTTAAGAACAAGATCTTTAGATGGAGGTCAAATAATCTGTAGGAGGTAATTGCTATAATCTAGGCCAGAGTTACTGAGGGTGTGAACCAGATTGATAATGGAAGCTATGCTGTAAGAGTTATGATGCAAGATCAGAGAAAAATACTTGCGGACTTGGTATTTAAGGAAACTTTCAAAGCGGGGAGTAACAGTAGGTTACGTGGGATAGTGGTGATGTGAAGAAACGGGCATATGTGAGGAAAGTATAATGTACAAGTGTTTCTACTAGAGATGATGACAGACTCATCTGCCTGCAATGGAGTATATTTACGGAACAAGGACCATGAACTTGAAAGACTGGGAATCAGTCGTGGACAGTTTTGCATTGACAGCTAATATGCTTGGGTTTTATTTTCCAGACAATAAGGACATTACTTTGGATTTCAGGTAGTAAAGTAACATGATGACCGTGTGCTATTTATACTACTTATTTGCCCAATATGCTACTTGGCAGTAAAACCTTGTCAATTAATTCAATCTTTTTTCCCCTAAGCAATAGGTAAACACTTAAGTTTGAATAATGAGTATTTTCAACATGTAACCTATCCTAGCTGGCTCACTCTGGCTCATGAATCTGAGTGGTAAAATTTCTGGGGTTTTGCGAGCCAGCTGACCCACTGTGGTAGTCTGAATTGACTATGGATGCTGAAGAAACTGGCAAGTGCTGTTAGTTGGGATTGTCTTCTGAGCAGTAAGTTTTTTAACTCACACTTCTTACCTGCACCACCCACCCATCACCATACAATGGATGATACTCTTAAGATTCCTGATGGCAAAGGCTTAGTCTTTTTTTATTTTATATATATATATAAGATTCATTTGTTATTGGAAAGGAGAGGAAAGACAGACAGAAATATCTTCCATCTATTGGCTTACTCCCCAAATGGCTGCAGAGGCCAGAGATAAGTCAATCTGAAGCCAGGAGTCAGAAATTTCATTCACGTCTCCCATGCAGGTGCAGGGTCCCAAGGCTTGGGCTGTCTTCAACTGCTGTCCCAGGTCACAAGCAGGGAGCTGGATGAGAAGTCAAGCAGCTGGGACATGAACCAGTGCCCATATGGGATCCCGGCATTTGGAAGTAGAGGATTAGCCAATCAAGCCATTGCGTCAGGCCCCAAAGACTGGGTCTTGTACTGTCAATGACCTGGACATTAATTGTGCTTGTTAATATGCATAGATAAAAAAGTCCTTATAATTTTCTTCAGATTAGCCATTCCATAAACAAAAGCCTCAGAAAAGAAATGCCTCCAATACACATTTAGACTAGAGAGGTGGGCATAAGTTCCTAATGCTTGTTTTAGCAGCTGAAGTTTTCAGTAAACACAGCCAGGTTTTTCCATGCATATACTGTTTACTGGCTGCTTTGTGATTCAAGGGGAGAAGTGAGTATTTTAGATAAAGAGTTTTAGGGCCTGCAGAACATAATATATTTACAAGCTAGTCCTCTTAGCCAGGTACCTGATCAAGAACACTGGCACCACAGCTCCAACACTCCCTTGGAGAACTATTTCAACAACGCTATAACACCAGATAACTATTACCAAATTAAATTATATTATCTCAAAAATCGTGCCACAAATATCAGAGATTTTTAGAAGGCAGACACTTAATTTCTAAAAAAAGATTTATTTTTACTTAAAAAGCAGTGTTGTACAGAATGAGAGCTCTTCCACCTGCTGGTTCCTACACAAGTGGCTGCAATGGCCAGAGCGGAGCCAATCTAAAGCTGGGAGCTGGGAGCTTCTTCCAGGCTCCTACATGCGTGCAGGGACCTAGCAGGGACCCAAGCACTTGGGCCATCCTCTGCTGCTTTTACAGGCACATTATCAGGGAGCTGGATCAGAAGCCGAGTATCTAGAACACAAACCAGTGCCCATATGGGATGCCACAGGCACAGGATTAGTCCACTACTGTACAGTACCACCCCGACACAGATAATTGTAGCGCAATTCCTTAAGAGCAGAGTTATCTATAACTTCTTGTCCAGCATACCAAATACCTGACCTCTAAATGGTAGGGAGCTGCCTACCTGGGCCATGAGACAGGATGGGAAACACGACAGAACAGAATGTGTGGAAGCTAGGCAGTTGAGGACAAGGAAGAAGCCACCCTAGCTACGTGAGCCAAATGAGGCAAAGGATGCAAGAACAGAAACCAGGCAACTGGGAGCTGGTACGCCTGGGGGAGATCCCAAAGGCTTGCTTGTCCAGGGGTGGCGCTTTCTGCCTTGGGAAGCCATGGTTACCTCACGTGAGCCACACTCAGGCCTTCCTTCAGCACGGGAGCCTCCCGTCACTTCCTCATGTTGCACAAATGCAGCTGATGCCCAATGAGCTCTTCGCTGCAATTTTGCCCTCAGAACTTCTAGATACAAACGATTCTGCTAGGAAATACGGTTTACACTACCATGTCAGTTCCCCTGAAAGGGTTAACAGCTGAAGAGTGGGAAAATACGGTGCGCGCTGGCTTATTTGGGTCACTGTGGACTGAGACGGTTTACATTTGTGCAATACTGATAATAACCCATGGACCTCTGTTGCAGGTCAGTTTTAAACCCATACAGTGACATGATTTCAAATGCTGGGAGTCTCGGAGGGACGGTAATTAACTTTCTGCTTGCTTGTATGCACTGTACACTGAGAAACGTCTTCACTCTCCTTGGAGCCCTCCAGATCATGAGATGAAGCAGTACCTTTACCTGACAGGGTGTAAAATGAACAGCGGGTGGGCGCTCCCCGGCTCCACTGCTACTCCCACATCCCGGGGGAGCCATTCAGAGGGGCAGGGGATACCAAACAGCGGGTGGCCAGGTGAGTAAAACTGGTCCACTAGTGGGACGGAAATTCCAATGCCTGCGGATCGCGCAGACATTCGCTCCATTTTTTTACCTTTCTTTCGTTTTCCTCTAACTCCTGCACATGGAGCAGTCAAAAAACGCACTTCAAGTGTTCCAAGACGATGAAAGCCAAGCATTACTAAAGCAGCAGCAAACTATCTCACGGCTAACTCATCACCCGAGCTGCCCTCGCAGCCCTCTGCCAGCACTCAGCATGAGGAGGTGATCCAGGGCAGGTGGGGACGAGCCGCCCACAGCTCAGGCCGGACCACCAGGCAGCAGGGCAATGACGCAGAAGGGTGGGGAGACGACCGGGATCACCAGCGCGCAGGCGCAGACGCGGTCCTGGCCCTCAGTGGTCGAGCCCCTTTCTAGTAATTTCGCTGGCCGTGACGTCATCCGAGCGCGCCGCCAAGGCGCCGCCTACACCCACGTTTTCTTTTTTGATGAATTGTGGTGGGGAAACGTAAAAGAAAGTGAAAGGCCTCACCCTCCCCGAGTTGGTTATTTTGTCATCCCATCAGTACAGACACGCCGACACTGTGGGCCCCGGAGCAGCACAGGGAACGCCCTCACAGTCCCGGGCATGACTCGGCGCCGCCGACGGCCGCGCTACCCGGCGTGCCCCGCGCGCGGCCGGCGCAGCGCGGGGGGAGGGGCGGCGAGGAGGAAGCGGCGGCGGCTGCGGATGTCGCTGCGAGCGAGCGGCGCCTGATCCCGCGTCGTCGGCCTGCCAGGCGGCCCCCCGAGCAGCGCGCCGTGTCCTCGCCGCCGCCCGGGCCGCTCTCCGGGCTCGCTCTTGGTGTGCCTGCCGCGTCCCGCTCGCCTGAGTCACCGCCGCCGCCGCCATGGCCGAGAGTGGTGAGAGCGGCGGCCCTCCGGGCTCTCAGGACGGCGCGGCCGAAGGGGCTGCAGGCGCTCCCGCCGCCGCCGCCGCCGGCCCCGCGGAGCCCAAGATCATGAAAGTCACGGTGAAGACCCCGAAGGAGAAGGAGGAGTTCGCTGTGCCCGAGAACAGCTCGGTGCAGCAGGTGAGGCCGCTCGGGGGGTGATGGCGGCGGGAGCTCGCCGTCCACCCCGCCGGGCTCGTCCCGCGGCTCCCCGCCCTCCGCCGCCTCGCCCGCAGCCCCTCACAAAGCGCGGGGACCCCGCGCCCCGCTCCGGTTTTGTTCGGTGGGATCGTGTGTGTGTGCGCGCTTTGTTTGAGAGGCCCTCGGGTTCGGGTGGGATTTGGGGTGAGGAGCGCGTACGTTGAATTCTTCAGACTTTTTAATAGTAACTGTGACGTCGAAATTGCTTTTAGCCGCATGTTAGGTAACAATATAAGGCTTAAGCAGAAAAGTGAGTGACTTTCATTCATTGATTACTTCCTATTATTATTATTTTTTTCAAATCATGTCTGTCATCTTCAGATCCCCATGAGGAGGTTTTTGTTTGTCTTTTAGAGGGCCGGCCACGACGTTACCAGATACAAGCTATTCTAACTGAATAAAGTGGACTTCGTGGAGAAATGATCAGATAATACAGCACTTGACGTCTGCCCAGTAATACAGACTGTGCAGTTTAATTAGGAGTCTCGTTCGCGTTCAGCACGCTGTCTTGCTTTGTTGTGGAGTACATCTTGAGTACTTTGCGTCCTTCCCCGGTTGATCTTTGACAACCTCAGTGTGAACACTTGGTGTGAGGAAACCGGGAACAGTCGTGGAAGCGTGTTGGATGGCTTTGGGGGTGGGGGATGGTGTGTTGTGGGCGGCTTTCCTTCCCGACCGAGGCACTTTGCTTTCCCAGAACACTTTACACGAGTTGTTCGTAACCTTTTCTGCTCCTCACAATGTAGAAAGGCTGGAAGCAGACAGCTGTGCGACCATCCCCTACATTAGTGTTTTCCCGTGTTTGCTCAGTTATGTAATCAGTTTTAATGGGTTACTTTTGGATGTATTTCAAAATTGCTGAATTGCTGATGTCACTGTGTCACACTGAAAGGCAAGGCAGCTTTCTGTCGTTCACGGAGTCCAACTTTGTTTTATAGGTAAATGGGGAGTGCCGGGAAATGCACCGGGCTCGGCCATTCTGTTTTCGCAGATGTGTTAGGTCTTTGTTAACATGCCACGGGAGAGCCTCCTCCTGACTGGCCCGGTCAGCTCCTTTCCTCTGGCCTTTTCCTGGTCTGTGCAGTCTCCTCGCCCCACTCCCAACTGTTGTTTCTTTTCACCTTGTTGGGTTGGTTTTAGGACGGCACCTAAGTGGCATCATGTAGTATATATGATGTACTTTTTTGGGTAAGGCTTCCCCTCCCCCCCAGCATATTTTTGATATTATTCCTTGTATGTGTCACTAGTTCCTTCCTGTTCGAACAGTGTGATTTCCAGTGTGTTGAATACCATGGTTTATTTGGTTGGTTTTTCGGTGTGTTACTCTGAGCAGTGTTGGGCCCATCCTTCGGAGGGGTACACCTGTCTCTCAGGTCAGTCTTTAGAAGGGGAGTGAGTTGGACAGAGGGCAGTTGATCCAGTGACATCTGGGACTTCCTGTTTCTCCAGATCTGCTGACACTGGCTATCAGCACTTTCAGTTTTAATATGTGGTGTAGCTATATTACATTTATGAAGCCCTTTGTGTGTGTGTGTGTGTGTGTGTGTGTGTGTGGCCTTCACCATTATTTTCTGCAAAACATTGAGAATAACAAAGTTTCTATAAATAGGAAAGTTTTATTTAAGATCAGCATCTGTAAAGGATGATTTTTGGTTTTGGCTGGTAAAATTTAAATTCTAAAGTCTGTGTACTTTCCCCCCCCCCCCCCCGAGTCTTTCTGTCTTTCAGATAAATAAGTATTTTACAGTCAGATTGTTGGGAGGGCGGCAGTTGGCCTGGTAGGTAAGACAACAGCAAAGATGCTTGCATCATGTATTGGAGTGTCCGGATTGGATACCAGGTGACAGATCCTGTCACCAGCTTCCTGCTAACACAGATCCTGGCTCAAAGTCACTGGGTTCTTTTCTTTTTCTCTTTGTTTATTTTTATTTTTTTTTATTGCAAAGTTTTATATATATATATATGTGTCTGTGTGTATGTATATGGAGAGAGAGGGGAAGAGAGAGCGCACGCACGCAGGGGAGAGAGAGAGAGAGAGAGAGAGAGAGAGAGAGAGAGAGAGAGGAGTAGAGATAGAGAGGAAGATCATCCGTTTGTTGATTCTCTCCCCAAGTGACCGCAGTGGTCAGTGCTGCGCCAGTCCGAGGCCGGGAGCTCTTCTGGGTCTCCCACAGAGGTGCAGGGTCGCAAGGCTTTGGGTCGTCCTCAACTGCTTTTCCAGGCCACAAGCAGGGAGCTGGATGGGAAGTGGAGCTGCTGGGATTATAACCTGTGCCCATATGGGATCCCGGCGTGTTCAAAGTGAGAACTTAAGCTGCTAGGCCACGGCGCCAGGCCCTTATGTACGTTTTTAAAAAGTAATACTGCAAGTTATATTGTTTAAAAAGTACATTTTAGAGAGAGAGTGAGCAAGCACACACTTGATTTCCTCTCAGATGCTTGGCAATGACTGTGCCAGGGTTGGGCAGAGGTCTGAATACAGGAGTGCAATTCAGGTCTCCACACTGGTGCAGGCATCCAGTGACTTGAGCAGTCACTACTGCCTCCCAGGGTCTGCGTTTGCAGGAAGATGGAAGCAGACATGGAGCAAGGCACCCCTATATGGGATGCAGGTTTTCTTAACTCCTCGACTGTGCCTAACCTCCCAAACTGATTTTTTTTCAGATTAAAAGTTAATATTTTGCTAATGTAACTTTACATGACAGTTCATTGTAAAACTTTTGATCACTATTTTCTGTTGAAGCAGAAAACTTTAAAAATTGAAACTCATTACTTCATCAAGAATCTGAAGATGAGTGAACTATCTGTGGTTTTTGTTGAAGGACACATATACAGGAAAATGCACCCCAGCAAAAAAAGATTTTTAGGTCTCCTATTTGTAAAATTCTACTCGGAGCATAAAAACAGTGCTACCTAAGTTTTTCTTAAAGGCATCTGTGGTTTGAAACATATGCTAATGATTGAAGTTTGTCATCAAAACATTTTTGTGATGTAAAGGTTTCAGTAAAGTGTTGAATGAGCAACTGGGAGTAGTTTGGTCCTGAAAATTCTCATCTGATCCTTTAGGGTAAGGGGTCCGCGAAGACTCACTGGAGAATGTTACTGAAGCCTTATGCTCTGTCAGGCAGACCTCATATTCTGGCCATTTAAAATCTCTTTCAGTAAATATTCCTGTCTAATTTAGATTCCTTCACACATCATATTGAGATTGCATTTACATGAATATGTCATAACTGGTTGAAATTATATTAATTTTTATGTGTAAATCCTGAGGTAACACTGTTTCCCATGGTTTCTGCTTGGGTGACCAAAGGGTGGGAACAGAATACCTTAATGGTACGTAGTGCCGGTTCTGGTTGGTATTTGTTAAGTGTTACTTGTTAGAGGTTGGTACTACAGCTTAAGTTTTTTTCGTAATTAAAGTTTGTTTTGTGTAGATCACCTAGATTCAACTGAGCAATTGAGTTTAAGTTTCTGCTTCAGGATAGCTAGCTTATAAACTGCATTATAATGTTTGTTCTAAGTTGGTATCATTAATAGAGGTTTTTATAGTAAAAGTAATGGCCTTAAAAGAAACAGGTAAATATGTAGTGGTGCAAAGTCACTGCGTATGGAATTATTGTGTTATTACCTATTATTTGGAAGCAACCTTCATATATTTTGGGTATCAGTGGGCAAGATAAAATGCAGAAGGAAGGCCAGATGTGTATAATTAGTGCAGAGACTCAGAGGATCTTCTGTACAGCTTTTACTTAGCTTATTTTGGACCTTTAAAAAAGATTATTTTTAAAACATCAGGAGGGATTCCCAAACACTTTTTTTTTTTTTTCAAATATTTTGTTTTGTTTTTATTGGAAAGTCAGATATACAGGGAGGAGTAGAGGCAGAGAGGAAGATCTTCCATCTGCTGATTCACTCCACAAGTGCCTACAAAGACCAGAGCTGAGCCAATCCGAAGCCAGGAGCCTCTTCTGGGTTTCCCACGTGGGTGCAGGGTCCCAAGGCTTTGGGCCATCCTCGACTGCTTTCCCAGGCCACAAGCAGGGAGCTGGATGGGAAGCGGGAAACCCGCCCAGCACATGCAAGGCGAGGACTTCTGCCAGTAGGCTACTAGGCAGGGCCCATACTTTGCTTTATTTTCAGTAGTTTCATCACTTAGAAACTGTGGAACACAGTGTATTTAGACATAAGTATTGTTGAATCAAATCATGCTTTTGATAAGCAATATTACAGTGTGTTAGAGTCATTTCCCATGGCTTACATCACATTGTGTGACGTAGCTCTAGAAGGCGCCCATCACACGGGCTGTGGAGCACTTACTGTGTCATTGGACTGAATTGAGAGGTGTAAAATTGATACCAGGTTCTGAAAATTTGATTTGAGCAGAATAACAAGTATCTTAACAACTTTTGGACATATCACATGTTGAATTTGTACAGAGTGAATTAAATAAAATGTTATTAAGATGGTTTGTTTATACTTTTGCAATTGATCTGCTTGAAGTTTTAAGATTATCCACAGTTAAGGTTAGCATTTTGTTCAGAAGTTGTGGTTGAATCAATTTAGTAAGATGTATTCTAAAGAAAAATTCTGTGATCAGTGTTTTCTTAACTTGGCTTGTTCCGATATGGGACTGCTGAAAAACGTGTGATTCAATAATTCTAGCCGACTGCTTAGCTTTTTTTTTTTTTTTTAAGAATCTTTTAACTGTAAGTTACATACTTAACAGTAGTCGATATGTTTTTTGAATCATGTTGTACAAATGTTACCACAATCAACTTTAGAACATTTTCACCACCCTTGAAGAACCAACACTGGTTAGCAGTTGCCCCTAAGCCTATTTCTCCCTGTATGCCCAAACCCTAGACAAATACTAAGGAATTTTTTTTTTAAGCTTTATTTATTTTTGTTGGAGAAGCAGATTTATAGTAAGAAGAAGA